TCCAAGTCAATTGATAGTATTGGTATAAAAGTCTCAAGTCTACAACAGTGTTCTATACATCCTTGTGACAAAACCAGGTTTAGATGAAGATTGTTTCTTTCAGATCTGGTAAATACTACCCTTGTTATGCAAATGAGATACACATTGGTTCAAAATCCAGAAACACTTCTGGATTACCCAGGAGCATCCTCAGTCAGAGCATATTTAACCATTAGCATTATTAACCATTAACCACTAGCATTATTATTCACGACATATGGGTTTCCTGTAACAGACTGAATGGAACTACTGTAAATGCAACTCAGAAGTTATAATTGGTGCAGAATGCAATTGCTCTCTTTAGGGTGTATCTACACAGTCAAAAACAAAAACAAAAAACCCCACCATGGCTGACCCATGCCAGGTAACTCAGGCTCAAAGGGCACAGGCTATAGGGCTGTTTTGTTTCTGTGTAGACATCTGAACTCAGACTCTGGGACTCTTCCACCACACCTGAGCCTGGAAATTTCACTACGATGTAGATATCTCTACAGCCCCTTGCCTTCTGGCACCAGCCAACCAGCTGTGGAGACATACCCTCAGAGATGCTAGGTCACAACAATTCTTAGAGGTCTTCAGATTTGATTGTGAATAGAAATCAAGGACAACCAACCTTCAGATTTATTAAAAAAAATCCAGATGTGGCATGGGTTACTAGCTACCTGAGAGACCAGCTCCTCCTGTGCACCACAATGAGTTCTTAGATTCCTTGGACTTGAATGTCTAGAGTTTGAATGCTTGTGATTTAGTTCTGATCAGTCTAGAATTTATTCCTTCCCATCAAGCAGATGCAACACCAGTTTGCTGACCTTAATTTAACCCTTCTATGTAGTAAGGCTTTTCCATAAGCACAGTAGATATTATTTCTTACAGATAAGCCATTTAGTTTAATCTCTGTGTAAGTTCCCCCTAAGGATGTTAAATATCGATTACTTTACTAGTCGCGTAGTCAATGGAATTTTGATCCACTACTCAACAGGCACTTCCTCATTCCTCCTTTGAAATGTACGAGAGCCCTCGCGGGGGCTCTCGTACATTTCAAAGTTGGAACCCCAGGTGCAGCCCGGAGCCAGTGGGAAGTCCCACCAACTCCAGGCTCCATGTGGACACTTCCACTCTGAAACGTGCAAGAGGGCCGTGTGCATTTCAAAGTGGAAGCACCCGTGTTGAGCCCAGAATCAGCAAGACTTCCCGCTGGCCCCAGGCTGCACGCGGCTTGCCAGCTTTGAAATGTACAAGACATACATTTTATGTCCCTTTTATGCGGCACTGCCGCTTTGAAATACTGCATGGAGCCAGAGTCAGCTGGGGATTTCCCAGCTGGGCTCAACACGGGTGCTTCCACTTTGAAATGCTTCCACAACCCGGGTGCTTCCACTTTGGATTTCTCAGCTGACTCCCCGTCCCATGGAAATGCTGCAGCAAGACCGAGGTCAGTGGTGCTACCACTCTAAAATGCTGCAGCAGAGTTTCAAGAGGCAGCACCACACGGAGCCCGGGATCAGCTGTGCGGCACTGGCCTTTTGAAACGCCACCATGGCATTTCAAAGTGGCAGTGCCACATGGAGCTTGTACCCCGGGCTCTATTGGGTGCTGTCACTTTGAAGTACCCCCTTCACTGCCTCTATCTGATAGAGGCAGCAAGAGGGGGCGGGGGAAGGGGAAATGACTAGTTGATTCAATTATCCGATACGTATTTGCTTATTGGATAGTCAACTAGTCCATAACATCCTTCATGCCCATTCTGCTTTTGCATTGGCCTACTGATGGTGGCACTGCCCATTGTTTGGAATATATCTTCTCATCCCTCCTATGGAAATAATATTCAAGGATTATAGCTATTTCATATAGGATAAAAGAGAAAAGGAAGAAATGTGCAAGAAGGAATCACTGTTAAAATACCCAAGATTTACTGGCCTTAGTTTTGGGACTTCTACCAGAAATTAAGGAATTCTCTATGATCAAGCAGAATGTCCATAAATTCTAAAAAAACCAACCTCAATTAGTTTTTAAAATTAGTTGCTGTACATATAAGATCAATGTAACTATGGTGACTACAGTAAGCAACAGCCAGCTCCCTTTGTTATCCCCTAAGATTTCAGGCATGGAGCTCTGGGTTGCAATTAATAGATACTCTGCAGGCCAAAAAACATTAATCAGCAACCCACTAGGATTCTGTGCCTTTTCTATTCTGGTAGGTAAACAGCAGGCAGCTGCTAAAATTTCAACTCTGATTTCACAGTCAAGCTCTGACCTTCAGCCAGTCAGCCATAACAATGACTGATGGGTCTGTGATTGTGCTAAGCAATTCTTTTGTAGCTCTCTTCTTCTCTTCTCTGTAATTTTTCTTTTGAACCTGTAATTAACAAATATAGAAGATGGTAAAACCATTTAAAAATTACTAGGAAAAAACAAGCCACGGCAATAAAAAAAAGCTATTGCAACTAAGAAAAACGCAGGAAAATTGTAAGACAAAGTTCAACCTGAAACTATACAGACAAAGACGAAGCTTTAAAATGTGGGAAAATGTCTGTCTTGAAAATTAAATAGTTTTC